AGAATGAAGGGAAAAAAGAGCCATCATTCATCATTATTGAGATTGTAATGTACACTCATTGAATATCAGCCAATTGCTGTGATTTTGTGACACACTATCTGCCAAGCCCACTGAGTATTTCTTTTTTCTCTATGGCTAGAAGTTCCATAGTACTAAGAAAATAAAGCAATAATGAAAGTTTTAGCAGCCAGCATTCTGGCTGAAGGAAATGATCCACCATTCTGAGGGGTGGTGATGGTAGTTTCTGCCCATACCTCGGCCGAGTGGCTTTTTATATCCTTCATTCATGGTGCACTTTATTTATGGTACTAGGATAAAGACCTTCAATCCACCGATTTATCTCTTCCCTCCTGCCAGTCTATAATACTCATGCTGCTTTTTTGAGTGTTGAGAGGGGGTACCAACATGATCCACTGTTGCTCTTAGAAGGCCCAAGTGCCATCAGGCATTGCCAAGGAGTCCCGGATCAGGTGGAAAATCCTCACTTTCTGTTCATGACTGTAACAGAAGATCCCTAAGATGGACGTTGCCATGGAACAGCAATACCTGCATGTGCTGCCAACAGGAACTCAGTTGATTCCTGGGAACGTAGCAGGGAGAATCAATCCAGGCAGAGGCAGGAGGCCTCCAACCTCTTGGCTAAGGTGCTGCTCCCGCTTCTCCTGCAAGGTCTGCAGAACCTCCTTGGAAGTGGTAAAGGAACCAGCCCAGTCGAAAGTGCAAAGCCAGCTGACAAATCCTTGTAAAGTTCACTCCTCAATCATTGGTGCAACCATGTTTGTCTTCTCTCTTGGTATTTCTCCTCTCCCAACTTTAAGTAGCCATTTTGCCTTGGAATCATGATTACAAATTTTTCCTTTGCAGATGCCTTTGTGGGAGATACTCCTCCCCACCCTAACGGGTTGCCTGCAGGTTGGGCTGATTGGGCCACTCTGCTATGGCTCTCTCATGAGAGACCTTCTGAATTTTAGCACAAAGTGCCTTCTCTTTCATAGCTGCCACCACCTTTAGAGGAATTCTGCTGCATCAGAAAAGTGTGGAGGCTCCATATTAATGCATTATTCCTTTTTTCTTTTTTAAAGTTTAATAACTCTTAAAGCATCATTTGCACCTGTGTGGCAACTCTGTCTGTTACAGAGCATCATGGTCAAGCTACCACTGGGAAACTGCTTTCTGCCAGTCTTGAGGTTGTGAAGATCAGTACTGAAATGAAGGTATATTCTAGCTTAGCCTTTCAGAACAGAAAAATGGAATATCAGAGTAATAGTTGTAGGTGAAACTGCTTTGGGTTTTACTGTTGTAGAGGATGAAAAACAAGAATGTTAGGGAAGTCTTAATTTGGATGCAGGTAATGTGTTTGCCCCTTAATCTTTTATTGGTAGCTTGTTAGTGAAAAGGAAATAAATGAGATTCTTTTGTGTAACTTTGTAGTCTCTCTGTATTACCAAATAGTTGGGGTCTTGGCCCCTGTGTTTTGCAAGAGTGTGTGGTAAGCACGGGTAAAGAGAAGTGATGGGAGTGGTGGTAGAGTCTGTGTGTTGGGGAGTGGTAGGGGATGATTTGTTTTACGGGAAATGCCCACATCTTAACTTTTAAACTTTTGAATAAACTGTGTGAAAATAGTAGTGGAAGTTTGTGATGTGTTTTAAAGCAAATGTGGCTTGTAATTCAAAGAGGCAAGGGTGCTGGTGAGTTCTTTGTCCACAAACCATCAGAACGCCTAATTCCAAACGCTAATTTCAAAACTGCATCATCATTTTTATGCAAAGTGCTTTTCTGTCTCAAGGAAGCTGGGACTGGCTTTTTTGTTCCCAGGGAGTCAGTTTTCTGAATTGGTGTCCATATAAAAAGACTACTGTTGGTCTCATGCATGTGTTCATTCCACCCGATTCTGTGTTAGAGGGCAGTGGGCCCTCCCCTTGCAGTAAGGCCAAGGAGACCTGCTGACAAAAGTGCTGTCAACTGGTGGGCCCTCTGTACATTTATTTATAGCCAGCGCCGTGAATCTCATGAGCTCACAGGATGGGACTTCTTAGCCCTCTGTGTTCACCAGAAGAGGGTTCTGTCTCTGAGATGTATCAGAGGAGTCCTGGTATGTCCCACTTCTTAATCCTGTTTCTGGGTATGGAAAGGAGCCTCAGAAAAAGTCAAGAAGGGAGAGGCAAAGACCACCCAGGGTGGAAACTGCAGGCAGAGGGAAGTTAAATGAGCCAGAATAGGTAATGTCTTTCCAAGGCTCATGGATCCCAAGAAACATGTTGGGAAACACTGGCTCTGTGTTGATCCTGTTCACAGGTAATTCTGTTCCTAGTCTTATAGGGAGAGTTAGGAAATAATGGAACTTTAACTGTACTGCATACTAAAATGAAACCAAATACCAATGTCATTCAGTTTCATCTTGATTCAGAAGTCCATTATAATTTTATTTAGTACCAATTTCTTTTTAGAATTAACTTCCAAAAGTAGGATTCAGATGAGTTCCTTTGGGATTAATATTCAGGTTCTGAATAGCAGGTTGGTAATTTCAAAACTCATCTATATGGCATAATAGGAGTCCTTGGCCATCAATTGCTAATGCCTTTTCTCAATCATTTCCTTGGAAAGCACATTTCTGAATTATCTTGTCCTGTTTCTCTCTCTTGGGTCTCTGTGTGTAACCCAAATGGTGTATTTAATTGAACTCAAAAGGACTCAGTGAATGGTACTTTCATTTCCTACATATCGTGTTTCCCTGGAATGAACTGTCAAAGCCAACACTGACTTAAAAAACAGCCTCCATGATGCTTTTTCACTCATATTTTCAGAGAAACATCTTGCCCAAACATTTAAGCATCATGTACAGAGCTCAATACCAGGCACACTAGGGATGCAACAGGGAGCCCACCAGAGTTCTGAACTGCAGATCAGTTTGAGTAGAGAATTTCCATCCTCTAAGAGCTTAACAGAATGTACCAGCAACTATAAAGTTGCTACATTAGTGTTGATGTGGCCAAGTGCTGACAGGCCAACCCAGAGTTGTGAGAGGCTTAGGGAACCTTCCCAGAGATGTTTTTATTTAAGTAGCAGTGATTTGGCAGAGGGGAAAGAAGCAAGCAGTCCAGTATTTTGGAGGCTGGTAAGTGTGGTCTTGTGCTGTGGTAGAGGCTTAGCACTGTTATTTTGTGAAGAATGTTGTAAGGGACCCTGCAGGCACTTTTCCTAATTTCCCTTTCTCTCTTTAACCCACTCCAGTCTGGATTCTGTCCCATGTATGAAATATGTTGGTATTAATTATCCCAACTAATTATCCCATCTATAAAACATGCTTTTTGTAACATTTTTATAATCATTACTCTGGTCACTGGTATTCTAACTACTATATCCATTGATTCTCTTCAGTCCTCATCTTCTTTGATCAACCTGCTGTACTGACACTGTTGACTTTCCACTTCTCTTACTTCCGTTTTGGTAGTTCCTCTGCCTGCCACTTAAATGTTGGTGCTGTTCAGAGCAATGCCTTTGCCCTCTTTCACTTGTGATGTCTTGGTGATCCCCCCTATACTGTGCCTTCAACTGACACTTTTGTAGCCAGGTTGTCAAATACCCTTTGACCAACCTACCCAGGCCCCTCCCCCAGAGCTCTAGATTCCATGTAGCCATGAGCCTGCTAGAAATTGCTATCTATAAGGCCTACAGGCTCAAACTAAAGCAATCCAAATGGAGCTCCTCTTCCTCCCATAGCCTTTTTTCTAGCTCAGTCTTCTGTCCAAGCCAGAAACTGTAGCACCTTCATATATGGCTCCCATCAGTAAATATGTACATGAGGGCATGACCATACATTCTACCAGTGCCTTTACTCCTTACTGAGTGCATTGCAGGGAACTTAGCTGACCTCCTAGTCTCTAGTACTAACCCTTTCAAGCCTGTCCTCCCCGCCATCAAAGAAATTCTTATTTTCAAGTCTGGTTGTCGTTCTTCTGCATAAAACACTTTAGGGTTCCCAATAGTTTATAGTCCAGACACCTTTGTCTGAGCTCCAAGAGTCCTTTTCTACTCTTCCCTCATCTCTGCATCACCCCATCCTCTTCCCTGATAACAAATAAGCAATTATTTCATCTCATCTTTTCTCACATATCTGAGTTGGCCTGGAACACTTCCTTCCCCCATCCATGGATCCAAAACACCTAGTATTCATCCTTCACGATTTGGTTCACACGTCACTTATAGAAGCCTTTTGTGAACTCTCCTTAGTAAAAACTGGCTACTCCATTCTTTTGGGCTTCCTGAGTGACATAGACTATTTATAGGTTGGTCTATCTTCTCCATGTTTATAAAAGCCCCTTGATGGGAAGAACTGTGTCCTAGTCGGTATATTCCTGTGGCCAAGCAATGCTTGGCACAAAATACACTCAGCAGGCCATCTGCCTTCAGAACATGTTCACAACCTGTGTTGTCTGACAAAAATGTAGTCTTGTTAGGGAGACACAGACAGGCTTGCTTTGACACCCCCTGAAGTTACTGGTGTCACTGCTAAGTTCCCAGGCTAAGTATGCTGAGGGAGCCCAGTAGACACTTGACTAGAGTGAGACCAAATCAGAGACCAAACGATGAGCAGAGGCTCTATAGCTGTTTCCAAGGTACCTGCCTGGACTCCACCCTACCCTTTTCACTTGGCTTTCATTTTTGCCATTGTTCCTCACTTGCTTTAATCCAAAACAGGAACGTAGAAGTTTGTGGGTCCCCTTATCTTTCAACTTGCATTTTGCTTTGGATTTGAGTATCCAAGGAGTCTTGAATGCAAGTTAACCAGGAACTCAAGAGATGGTAGACATTAAGGACTCTGGAACCTGTGAGTTATAAATAACCAGGGTGGGAAAAGCACATGTAGGCTAAAGATGAGCCTCAGGTCTTCGTTAGAGAAGGAAGAGGCTCTGTTCTGGTCAGTATGGGTGCCACCTCTTTAAGTCCCTTTTAACACCTTTATTTCCAATTTTACTTTCTGCTAAAAAACAACACAGACACACAAAGGATAATATTTTATTATAGAAAAAGCATCCCAAGTATAGGATTTCATAAACACTGATAGGTGAACAAGTGCAACTTCAAATACAAAGTAAAGAGGCAAAACCTACAAGCATTTTGCCTTTTATAGAGATAATGTAATGTTCTCCTGGCAAAGGTGATCCCACCCAGAACACAAATGTGGCTCCTCCTCTCATGAAGTCATCAGGTTTGCTTTCTGAGCTATGCCCATTTTAACAATTTCAAAATGATGGCAAGAAGTGGCATTGAATAAATTACTAAAAACCCTTGATTTTTTCAATTGACAGTTGATTAAAAAAAGACTCCATATCACACTTTATGACAGAGTTTGAGTTAAAGCCTGTACTCTGAATATTTGTTTTACTTAAAGAAGGATCTTTTGGAACACTATTTGCAAATACATCTATCCTTTCTGGGATTATTCTGCAGTATTTTCATAGACCTGTTAACATTAGATATCATACTGTTCTCTTGAGAGTAATTTGGCTATTGTATATTATGCAGTAAATTGAGCTTTCTATCTTCCTTACCCTTTTTGCTGTCATTCTTTCAATACCTTTCCTCCACTTTGGAGAAACCATTAAATCATCTAACCTTATACATTTTAACACTGTCTCCTTGCCCTCTCTCTGACCCCTCAATGGCAAATGTTTCCCAATCAACTAACGGTACATATGATGGAGACACAAACTCAAGATTCTAAACCTCAAATTCACGTTCATCTTGGCTTGCTGAGATGCTGAGTAAGATACTTTGGTAAAAACATTTTCATTAGTAAAACATTTTCTGTATAAACAACCTGGCTTACTTATTTAGGCACTTGGAAAAAAACACCAAACCCAAAGTTCCACCTTGTTTTATTAGAGAAATGCCTCTTGCCCATCAGGCCAGTAACTGACTCCAGAGGGGATAATCACAGCCCAGCCCTTGTTCCTCCAAGGACTGAGAGGTCCTACCATTGTGGAATGTTCTGACCCTGGGAATAGAACAGGCGTGGCTGAGGACAGCCACCAATTACAGTGACGCTGAACTCCAGGTTCTTCTTACAGAAGAAATCTCCCTCTCCACCAGAAGGAACCTGTGGTCCCAGCTTTTTCTTCAGTCATCACTACCCAGTGACACTAGCAGATTCACTGTCACAGATTTCCAGCTTACTCAAACCCCATGGGTTGGGGCCAAGAGCATGTTAGCCCAAATTGGAGGGGGAAAAGACCTAGTTCTTGAAAGCCTGAGGAAATTAATCAATTATGTAAAACAAAGTATCAAGTACATGCCATACCTTTATACTTGTCTTTTTCTAAGCAAGAACTCGTTTTAAAGTATTATCTGTGGTGTGTTTACACTGAAATGTTAACAATACATAAGCTGTATAATAGGAGAAGTTATACATCCTCATAGGATACATAAACATTAGATAATTCAAATTTCCTTTGTAATGGCTTGGAAGTCCACTGAGAACCATAAAGGAAGCACCATTAAACAAGTATTTGGGCTAGTCAACTGCTAGTGTGTACATATACGGTACTGGTAAGATCAAAGCCAAACCTGACCTCAAGTATGAGCCAATTAGTTTCACAGAAACAAAATTACCTTCTGGATACAAATAACCTCACCCTTAACCTTAACCCTAACCCTGGCCATCAGCCTTGCAAATGGATGCCAGTGGTTATCAGATAACTCTGGGGAGCGAGGGGTGGCTCAGTTTAAACCCTCACTACTAGTTTTTCTGAGTAAGGAACAAACCATTGATTTTCACTGTGATGCTGGTCACATGCACAGAGAATACACTTCTTAAGAACACTTTTGTTTTTCAAGCCTGGAAAGAGGAGCTTTCAACACCTGACTTTATCTTTGGAGGACTATGACTAGGGCATTTATTCATAAAATGGAATCAAGTAGCTTAGCCTATAGTATCTTATAGGAATGGAATTGAAGAAAACCAGCCATATTCTTAAAAAACTTTCCTTTTCTTAAAGGAAACCATATGCCTCTTCACAATTTATGACGAGTAAATGCCCTGGGTAGGTGACCGGAAGGTCAACTTCTTCCACAGAGTGTGAGATAATCCCAAAACACTTATGTCTGGCTCTGGATTCTAAATTTAACTTTGCTGTTAATAGCTATGGAGATGTCAGGAAGGTGGTTCAGTACTGTGGGGGCTGGGGCGAGTGAACTCTTTGTTGTCATCCACCATGCACTGTTAACAGCTGACATCAAACAAAGTGACTAGACCTATTTTCCCTTCAACTTGCCCTTCCTTTGGGGATGACAGTATCATTTCCTTACCCAGTGTGTGAGCAGCTAATAGGCTGCTGAAATACACTGATATCCAGAAAAATTCCATGGTATCAAAAGTACAAGGATAAATGCTGCAACAAGACCAAGTCTGCACAGGTGATGTTTCCCACCCAACTTCACCGCAAATGCCCTCTCCCTGCAGCTCTTATAAATCTTTCTATTGAGATACTGAGCATTTGGGAGAAATTTTGCCCTCATCTTGAAAGCCTTTAATCCCTATCTAAGGTCTCTCAGCCACACCCACAGCAATGTGCTGCTCCGGGGTCTCAAGACCTATGGCTTCACACCAGACCCCAAGCCAGAATGATCCAACTGGCCTGATTTGGAGAGGTTTTTCTACTTGAGTTGTGAATTTCATTCAGTATGAATCATTAATTTGTTTAGGCTCAAAAACCTTGAAACTGAACAGGTGTTATTGTTATACCATTATCTTTCCTGCCAAGGAATCTGTCTGTGTGGGTTTGGATTGTTCTCTGCATTAATGAGAAGCAAAACTGAATTTAAGGTCTTAAAAACTGGACATTTTGAGTGAAAGCCTAGTTCTTCCCATATGCAATCTGGCTGTAGAGGCCACCAGGAATGGCATTTTCATTAACCTCTAATGAGCATCCCATTAGTGCCTGCTTTTAGAAGATGGAGATTGTCTCCTTTTAAGTTTGGTCCCTTTGCTACTAAGCAATCTGCCTGGTACGAAACAAAACAAACAGAAACCAAGAACAGAGTATAAAGGATGAAGGCTGCTTTGCTAAATATGAGGCAACAGGAGTCTTGACTTCCCTTCCTGCATTTGCAGTTATGCAAAGACTCAGTGAACAGCACCAGACTCAAAATTTTCAAGTTACCAGGGCTGCTGCAAAGCTTATACTTAAACTACCAGTGAGTACTGCTTCATCCTTTGCCAGAGGCATGGACTTAACTGAAAAGAGCACATTCATTATTGGAGAAAGGAAAAGGATAGGGGAAAAGCATGTCCCCTCCTCAAGGTGAGACAAACCATAAGGAGAATGGGAAGGACTAGCTGCAGGCATCCCAGACAGAGAAAAGCTCTGACAAAGGGTGGACTCACAGCTGGCCCTAATCCTGAAAGTCGTTAGAAGCCATCTGAGAAAGTGGGGCATTTAGCCGGTCAAGTTCATCCACCTGGGGCGGGTGGTGCATTAGTATCTCCTGGTCCTCCAAGACATCCTCTCCAGCAGCTACCAGGTTAGTGAGGGATTTGCTTCGAACACATTGGAAATCCACATGGCGACTCTTTCCTTCTTCCTTTTCCCATGACATTTGGATAAAGGGACGTTGCACATAATTATAGATGACTTCAGACCGGCCGCCAGGTCTTCTCTTAATTTTTTCTTTACAGGTAGGGTAACCTGAAACAGAAAAGTCCACTCTCATGACTCTGGCAAATTGTGCTTACTCTGGTGTCCTTACTTTCTCCTTCCTAACCACATCAATTTCCTCCCAAATCCAAAGACAGCATGAACCACTATGTGGGAAGTGACCCAAGCCTTCCTAGCCCCAACCACCTACTGCTTCCCTCCTGCTCATGTTAGTAGGTCTTGTCCCTAGAAGGGACTAATCTAAGGGAAGTAACAAGAATTCTCTCCCTTCTAATAAGGGGGAGAAGCCTCTTATTAATTTTGGGAGAACTTTAGTTGCTGGCAACAAAATACCATAGAACAAAAATCCTGCCAGGGCATGGTTACTTTAGTCCTTTTAATTCTGTTGCTTATAGAGCATACTGTATGAGAAATAGTTATGGAAATGTGAAATGTTTAGCCTAATGAAAAAACAGGGATGCTGAATAAAATACCAGAAAGACCGTGACATGGAAATGGAAGAAATCTTATTCAAAGGAGCTTCAGAGACTAGAACTTGAAGGCAGGCAGAAGAGGGAGGCAGTTATTAGATGTATGGAAGAATGTTCTAACGATAGAACAGTTTGATTGGCTGCTCTAGGAAAAGGGGTGATCCCTATCACCATATCTCTAGGGTTTCCTGAGACAAGGTAAAGACAAAGTGGAAGGAGATTTAATAGATAATCTCAAAATTTCTTCCAACTTTAAATTCCAACCTAAGCCAGACACAATGAAGGTCTGATGGGTGAAAGTGAGGCAGCAACAATGGCAAAGTATGAGTCAAAAATCCATGAAAGGAAGACTGGGATGGCTTCAGCACCCTTCAAGAATCAGTCTCTGAGACCCTTCCATGGAGACCATAGGTTGGGAGCCATTGCTCAAGGTCATTCCTCAAAGGTATGGAATAATCTTAAATTTTGAGTCTTAAAGCTATATTTTTCAGAAGGACCTTTCCAGATCCCAGAACCACCACCACCAAGATTGCTGGCAGAATGATCCTCCCACCTGGTAAGCCCACAAACCCTGCTACATTTACCCACCAGTGTCCTTTGCACTCACTACTCTTTATCCTGAAGTAGTAAACTTGAACCTATTCCTGTGGCTGTTTCCTAAAGTATTTTCAACTGAAGTTAAAATGAAAAGGAAATATGAGGACAAACAAAAATAAAAATCTTTCACACTTGAGTAGGAACTTAGTTTTCATGTATGCCTATTCTCTAGGCCCTCTGGAAGCTAAATTTTGAGAATGTAAGTTGTAGCCATACATCCAACTTACTCCATAAACATTCAATCTGAATACTGACTGGGTGTTTTGTTTTTTACCTTCAATTCCAATGCGGATGTTTTTCAGGCCCCGTTCCTTTAACACTGTTTTTGCAACATCCCGATTCTCAATATATTTGAAGAATCTATAGAGCTTGGAGCTATAAAGAACTGAAAAAAAAGAAGAAAAAAGGGGGGTTAGTCATGGAGTGAAGACCTTTACAAGAGGAAGGAGATAAGCTAACAGAATCAAGCTAATGAAAGGTATATTTGACCCGATTCCAAAAAAATCCAGATGGATCAAAGATTAAATGTTAAAGAATACACAAACTATAAGAGACATTTTTGTAGTCTCAGGGTGGGGAAAGCCTTTCTGGGTATGACCTAAAACATAGAAATCATTAAAAGAAAAACTGATGACAGTATAAAAATGCATCTCCGCATAGCCAAAACCATTATTAACAAAGCTAAAGAAAGAGACAACCAAGTGGGAAAAATACTTGTAACTCATAAAGGGCCAATTTCCTTAATATATAGAAAGAGCTACCACAAATAGCTTTCACAAATCACTAAGACAATCTAATTTTGTAATGGGTAAAAGCAAAAATACAGTTAACAGAAAAGGAAATTAGAACGGTTCTTAAAAAGATGTTCAGCCTCACTCATGAAATGAGAAAGGCAAATTAAAACTCCTGCTGACCATGAGATGTGATTTTTTTGGTTTTTTTAACCTGTTAAGAGTGGCAAAGATAAGTTTTAAAAACACTTTTGTGAGCATGTGGGAAACAAACCTGTCATATACTGTTTTGTGAGAATAAATTGGTACAACTTTTATGGAGGATAATTTGGAAATATCTCTCAAAATTATAAAAGCACAGTTTTTAATACAGAAATTCCACTTCCAGGAATATTTTATAGAGATCTAGATATGTGAAAAGACTAAATTTAAAAGGATATTCACTGCGGCATCATGTATAATTTGTAGCTTAAATGTCCAACAACAGGACTGATTAAATCAATAAGGCACATTCATGCAATGGAATACTATACAGCCATAAAAAAGAATCGGGAAGCTTTTTATATAAGACATTGTATACAACAGTCAGTATAATATGGTATCATTTGAAAAAAAAGGAAAAAACAGTATGTAATTGTTTATATATATGCACTGAATATACTAGGAAGGATATAAAAGAAAACAAGATGGAAAACTGGGTAGATAGGGCAGGGGTGGAAAAAAAACTTTTTAATGTATATCCTTTTATACTTTTTGAGTTTTGAATTATTACTAATTCAAAAGAATTTTAAAATGAAACAAATGAAGAAAAGAATAACACTACCATTTAATGTGCTGTTCAGTATCTGGTACAGTACCAGATGCCAGGGTTAGGAGTAAGAGGTATAATATTCATTATATTCCCCAGCATAAAGGTTAGACCTGCATCACTAAAAGCTTACTATCCAGGTGAGTGTGCTGACTACTGACTCAACAGTGAGTTCTACGATCCAGCTGCTACTCTGGGCAACATGTTTCTTGCTGAAAACATTTACACCATGCAGGGGCCTCCTACTTTGGGAATATTCCTCTCCCATGGGTGGGGGGTGGTCTTCATCCCAGTCCACAGAATCCTCATCTGTCAGCACAACAATGTGGCACTCTCTCTCCCCTTTCTTGGCACAGCCCACCATGATGGGCAGGATCAGTTCTTCGAGGTAGTGATCAAACTGTTTGTGAGCACCATCATTAGACAGTTCATGCAGTAAAGCACCTGGGGAGAGAAAATATAGGTGAATATGCTTTCTGTCTAAATGTACATATTACTAGAATGAAAAAGATTATGAAGTAATAGTTGTTACCATTGATAAGGTCCAGAGAAGTGGCACATTTAAAGGCAAGGAGATTGTGTCCTGTTCCAAGGTAACAATTAAACTGACTTTGTTAGACAAGTTTCATACTCTACTACTCTTCAATTTATTCATGTTTAATAATCCCCGAGCATTCTGATCAACTGAAGTTTAGTCAGACACACGGTGTCAGACCAAAACATTAATTCTACAAGAGAGAGAACCATCATTTGGGGTGACTCTTTGTAGTACCTCTTCTGAAGATACTTTGAATCCTGATTTCATGGAGTTAAAGTACCACAGTATAGAGTAATAATCTGAAGTTTGGCAACACCAAAGGACAAAGTACGTACTAGACCCAGTAGGGAAATCCTAAGTCCAGAGGCCTTCATGCAACATGCAAGGAAATGCATCAGGAACTTCAAAGAATAATTCTTTAAATAATTTCAGGAAACCTAAGTAATGATAAGAATATGGAGTTTGTAGTCAATCTGAGTTCTAAATCTTATCTTCAATGCTTAGAGCTTTGAACAAGCTAATTTTTTCAGTATTCTTATCTGTTAACCCTGAAAGATGGGTGATAACCTCAGTTAACTGTATAAGATTTATGTGAGTCCACATCTATAAAGCACTTAGCAAACACTGAGTTAAAAATAATTGTAACAATAATGGTAAAAAGAACCCAGCCAATTTCTGCTGTTTGACTTTATTAGTGAGCCTTTCCTCATGTCAGACAATCCAATCAGTATCCTTGTATGTTAAAGAGTGAAGACAACAAGGTCCCAAGAGGGAAGCAATTAGCTTGGTCACTCACTGGTCAAGCTAGATTTAGAACCCACTACCTGTTTTCCTTTGTTTATTCCACTTCCTCCCAGTGCTTTGAAGCAAAAGAGGGAATGGGGTAATTAGTATCACATCTCTGCCTCTGGAGATGATTTTTTTTTTCCCCCCTTTTTTTGTCTTTTTTCGTGACCGGCAACGGATTGCAACCCTCAGTGTCGCACCCGTACCGGACCGGGACCGGCAACGGGATCGCAACCCTCGGTGTTGCTCCCGCACCTCGCTCAGCCAGTGAGCGGCCGGTCTGTATGTGGGATCCGAACCCTTGGCGGGAGCGCCGCCGCACTTCCCAAGCGGCGACAGTGCACCACCGGGCCGGCCCTGGAGATGATTTTCAACCCACAGTTGAAACTCCTTCTGTTTAGTAATAAAAAATATCACCAGTCATTTCCAAGCATACTCAAAGTTTAGCTGCTCAAGTTCAGCTAGCAACTGCTCCTGTACTTACTCAGATCTTGACATCGGATAGTGTTGAAGTCAAAGTTAATGCAGAGATAATCGCAAGTATCTCTAAGGTCTGGGATAGAGATGCCATCAGGACAATTGATGATACCAGTTTTGTAATAATCCTGTAAATAGATCAGGAAGAAGAAATGTAGGCAAAGACCAAGAAGAATTACTTCTTCACTTCTGTTCATTCCTGGTTCTGTTAAAGCGAGGGATTACTGGACTTATCACCAAATTGGTTGATTCACTGGATGGCAAAGTGGATCCTGGCTATCCTGACATGTTTAATCATAACTTAATAACTGACTGAGCTCACACACGCAACAAGGATTTAAAAGTTAAAGGGCAGAAAACAAAGGAGGAAAGGCAATAACGAAACCAGCGACCCTAAAGTCCGTAACAAAGTTGATGGGACTACTGAGGCTGCTGACCACGCCTCCCCCTGGGGAAGAGGGATATAACAAAAATGGTTACTACACACCAGCACTGTGCGAAATACAGTTGCACTGATTCCTTCGGCAATCTCATACTCTCCCTTCTCATTGGGCCGTGTGAAGTTATATTCTCTTCCTGGTCCAAACATCCTGGAAGACACCCAAGCAACAATGTTACCTTCTCCAGCAGGATTCTTCACAGATGAGACTTCTTTCTTGACCTCATTCTGGAAGACTCCATCCCACTTTCTCATAGTGAAAGTTAAAAACACAGCACTGGGACCCAGTGCCTGTAAGATGAACTCAAGTCTTAGGAAATGCCCCTCAGACAGGAAAAGAAAGTAGCAATTGTTTTAAGCATTTGTGTGCAAGGAGGGATGAAGTGGCAAGTCCTCAAGGTGCACTTGTAGTAAGTTTGACAGCAAATGCAGTAAAACAGCAACTGCTGAGGTGGACTTTGGAAAATCTCCGGAGTGTGTGTGATGGTTGCCCAGTAGGGAGGACATGAAATGAACCATCACACACTCCTCCCTACTGGAGGATATGAAAGGCAACCATCACACACTCCAAGAACATGCCTGTATATACTGACAGCTCAGGAACACAGCATCTGTGCTCCTAACCTTTCCTATTCCTTTCTCCTCCTCTATTAACATTTACCTACCCAGTATGCCATTCCTCAATATTTCTGAGTTTTGCTTTCCAACATCTAATCTAATAGATGAATCTGTATTAGTAGGTGTGGCTATGTTACATTTTATTTTAGTTTAGTTTGGGTTTTTTTTGGCAGCTGACCTGTGCGGGGATCTGAACCTTTGACCTTTGTGTTATCAGCACCATGCTCTAACCAAGTGAACTAACCAGCCAACCCCAGTGTGGCTATGTTAATGTTTTCCTTTTCTTGGCACGTCTTACTTGTGGAGCTCTGGAAAAAAACGCCTGTAATTCAATCCAAGGAGTAACTCTAACAATGGGACTTTCCGGTCAAGTAGAAAAGGAGGGTAGGTATTATGCTTCTCAGCAGTTTGAGAGGTAGGCCTGCTCTCAGCATGAACTCAGAAATCATAAGGCTTGATTTTCTTATTCACCTCTCCCCATCCTTCTTCCCTTCCTCTCAGATTCCCTCCAGTCTAACTGACCCCGTAACTTCTACTCCGCTGCACTTTTGTGGTAGGACTTGTGGAGTGGGAAGACAGCATGAAGGACAGGGCAGGCAGTAGCTATTTTCAGCCAGCCTGACTTGATTTCTCAATAGGGAATCACTGCCATTTCATTCCTTAACCTGCTGGGAAGTGCTGCTATTCAACTGTTCATAACCATTTTCTTCTACCCTGAATTGCTGCTTTTCAGAGGTCTGAAAATGATTCCATATGATACGCTTTCCAAATCACTGCACCATGCATAAGAAATCCATCTTGATAAAAGTAGTCCCCAAAGAATGCTGATGTTTTTTCGGAATGCTCTGATTGAAGTCTAGCTGAGAGAGCTATGAATCAAAACAGTGAACAGTAGGTCATAAATATAATCTTTCCTATCTATCATCAGTAGGACTTAAGCTCAGAGTTGTTTACCTAGTAGTGGCATGGATTTGCATTAATCCATTCCCATTCTCTCAGCTCATCCCCCTTGTGACTAGTGGCCCACATCTGTAAGTTCACTGGCTAGACTTATGAGTACTGTATGTAGTCACAGGACAGAAGAAACCTAAGTAATTCACAGAATTTGTGACCCTGGGGGCTGGCCGGTTAGCTTAGTTGGTTAGAGTGTGATGTTGTAACACCAAGGTCAAGGATTCGGATTCCCAGATGGGCTAGCTGTCAAAAAAAGAGAATTCATGATCTTGGCCTACTCAGCTGAATGAGCCGCTCGGAAAAAGAATGAGACTCTCCTCTTATGGGGACAACCCATTCCTAGACTGAAATAATTAGTGTCACCCAAGAATCTGTTAACCAGAAAATGCCTGCCTGCCTTCCCTTGATCACTACTTTCAGAGGCAACAGCCAACCTGCACTGAGGAACACTTTTTTGGGGGGGTCAAATGGTAGTGACACCAAAACTGAGAACAGGAAGTAAAGCCTGATAAAATATAGGGCTAACTAGGAAAATATTTTAATGTTCTACTTTCATCTTAATTCAGATATTTGAGAAATATACAGTATAGATAGGTTTGGTTCTAATTTAAAATAGCTCATTGTGAATTTGTATGTTCAAATACATATTTGAATAACTGGATTCCATTTAGTCTAGAATTCAGCAAATTAATGTGATCCATTCTGATTTCTAATTCACTTTGAAATCCTCAGTGAGGTTAGATCTTTAAACAAAATCTATTTCTAAGTCAATAAAAAGCCTCAAAAGCCAATTCTACACACATACTACCATTATCATCATTATTTTTACTCTTATCACAATTTGCTGTTCCTCATGTTAAGGTCTATGGTTGGCCAGAAAGAGGATCTCCTAACTTCCAGCCCGGGCTCCAAGAATACTTCTTGGACAGTGCTTCTCTTTAGCAGGCTAATTCCATTTTCTAAATTCTAACCCTAAAAAATGGGAGCTGGAGATGAGAGGAGGATAAGACTATAGTCTGAATGAAGCAGCACAGAGAATGGAACATGAAGAATAAAGAGATCATGAAACAACAAAACAGCTAAAATTTCCATTTCAAAAATCTTGAATATTAACAGAGGCATTAGAAAATGACAGCATGACAACTACTGTCAAGCATAAAACTGGCAATAGATGGCAGGAAAATGCTTTTCAGTAAAATGGCTTTGTTCTTATGTCATATGGAACATGTGTCTAACTCTATTTTTTATGAAAAGAAAAAAAGAACACAACTTAAGTCATTCCTTATCCCAGCATCTTTCACCTGTGGAACTCAGAAAACATGACTCTAGAGTGAGTTTATACAGGAGTATAAATTCAGCAGGTTATTTTCCATAGTTCTAACTAGACTTTACTCAACTTTTGTGGTGGCTCATTTCACTATACTGACTTTGTAAATGAAAGAAGTACACTCTCCCCTCCCCAAATCACCAATACATATAAGGCTTTTACCAGCTGTCCTTCCCCTTTTCACAAAAGTATGAAGGTAGAAAAATAAGCAATGAAATGCTTTTTATTTTCACAACTAATGCAAGATAAACAGAAGGTATTTCTGTTTACAGAGAAGAGAGTGAATTTGGAAGGAAACAATCATCAATTACCTTCCCAACATGGTATCCGGATGAGCAGTGAAAATTTGTGGATTCACAACAAAACGTGTGCCATCTACAAGAAGCGTCACTTTCTCTGGCGCTTGGGAATGGGGGTTACTGCCAAAGCCCACACTGCTGTTTCCAAATCTTTCTGGAGCAGTAAAGGGTTCATGGTTCCGTTTATTCCCGCTTTGGAAGCAAGAGCCTTTGATGTCTTCAGGAAGTGGCATTATGTGAGGGAACAGAAGACTTGCTGGCTGAGAGGCATGGTCAAGAGAAAGGTCTAAAAGATCATACAAACAAACCAAAATAAGAGCAAAAGCTTTGGGAGAAAAATAAACCCTGTCTTCTTTAAAAGAGCAATTATACAAAAACCCCAAACTTTTAGATGTTCACAGGTAAAAACTCTTGCCTAGAGCAAGTAAAAAAAAAAAAAAAAAAAAAAAAAACCCAAAACAAAAAAACAACTAGAGACTCATATTAGATCTCCCTGAACTTCTTTCCATATATGTGTGAGAATGGGGATAAGCAGGGGATAAAGGCAGGAAAGTCCACACTTTAAAATAAAATGCCTTAAAAATCTTAAAGCAAACTATGTACGTGGTTTTAAAAAAATAAACAAAAGAATTTATGTGGAAACCCAGCAGTCCCTTGCCACTACACCTGACCCCCAACCCCCTGTGTTGGTTCACAAAGACAATCACTTTTTACTTCTGTTTTCACTTCTATCTCTAAATAATACTCTTGTATTTCCCATGTTTTATTTAAGAAACCTGCTACCACCGTGTGCCAAAATTATTCATTTTCATTCTTCAAAACTGTTTTTAAGTTTTATTTCCCAGAAAGGATAATAGTAGACTCTAATTGTTTAGTACATCACTTTTCCTAGAAATTCACAGAAAAATGCATTTTCACTATGTACAGGAGAATCCTAACATCGCCTATACCATTTTTCGAACAGGCAGGTCTTGCTCTCAGCAGAAAAGTTCCAGTGCAAATGGCATTGGGATTTATTCATGGAATCTCAGTTTTTTGTCTTAGTATCACTAAAAAGCCATTTTCTTTAAGCAATTTAATTAATTTTTCTAAAGCTGGTCCATCATCTGTAAAACGAAGATAATAATGTTCATTCCACGTACCTCACCGGGTTGTTTTGATTATCAACTGAAATAAAGTATGTGAAAGCACTTCAAAATGTATAATACAGGGCCGAGCCCGTGGCGCACTCGGGAGAGTACGGCGCTGGGAGCGCAGTGACGCTCTCGCTGCAGGTTCAGATCCTATATAGGGATGGCCAGTGCGCTCACTGGCTGAGCGCAGTGCAGGCGACACCAAGCCAAGGGTTGTGATCCCCTTACCGGTCACGAAAAAGACAAAAAAAAAAAAAAAAAAAAAGTATAATACAGCATGATGCAAAACAGGCTTAAAACCAAACATATGAAATATGTATGGATACAGAAGACAATCAGAAGTATTTATAAAAAAATTATCAGAGGATTCTTTTAAATAGGCATTCTCCTAATTTATTTTAATGTAAAAAAGGTATTTTATAATTTCAAACATACAGAAGCACAGACTCAATACATCACCTAGATTTGGAAAGCTTAGTTTACATTTTCCTACCTTTTCTTCAAACCTTTTTTGAAAGAAAGAACATTTTAGATATAACTGAATGTCTCACTCCCACCCCTTATGTATTTTAAATTTGTATACAATTATTCCTGAACATGATTATTGCCCATGATCTCTGCGAAATTAGTCTGATTTCCTGCATTCAGATAACCAAATAAATTGTTAGCTGGAGGACAATTTTTCCCCATTTGTTTGTAAATAAAAGGACACCAAAATCTAGACAAAAAACCTATTTAGAGTTCACATTCTACAGCTTCTAACAAATTTTCAGTGTGGCCCCAAGTCTGCACATCAAGAGCTAAGCTTCCATGCAATCCACAGGCAAGTTTGTAACAAGAAACACTTTGATCACCAGGACAGGCTTTCACACTTGAAGTGGTTCTTAAAAATGGAATAGGTACTTGAATTATTAATTCAGTTTTTTAGAATGCTTGATTTCTCCTCAACAATGAAGCAATTAAATTGGGTTGATTCTTGAACCCAAGGAAGGAGCCTCAGGTTGTACCACACTTAAATGGGTGGGCAGGAAAAGACACTCATTGCACAAATTTCCCTAATGGGGTACGCTAGGGTTGCAGTCACATGCTTTTCTGTCAGTTGATGATATATAGCACAGCCTCTTTAAAAAGACACAGTTTGAAATCAGTCCCCTACCTCCCAAGCAGTGTGAACCTGGGCAAATTACCTAAGCTTTCTAAGCCTCTGTTTCCTCGTCTGTAAAACAAGGATAATAGTTGTGAGGATTAATCTAGATCAGGGATCAGCAAACTCTGTAAGGGACCAGAAAGTAAATAGTTTAGGCTTTGAGGGTCACAGTTGTTGCCACTGTAGTAGGAAAGCAGTAATATACAATATATAAACAAATTGGCATGATGACTTTGTTTCAGTACAGTTTTACTTACAAAAACAGGCTGCAGCCGGATTTGACCAGTTTGTCACCCTGATCTAAAGAATGTATGTAAAGTTTCTAGTATAGTGTCTGCTCAATTAATGGCACTTGCTGTTATTGTTGCTATTGTTCATTAAAAGTTAAAAAGAATTTAACACTTTATCAGGAGCTTTCACACCCATTAACTCATTAATCCACCAGCTTGTGAAGCAGGAACAATATTAATATCCTTGTTTTCTAGCTTAAGAAAGCAGGGCTCAGTAAGATTAATAATCTTATCCGTGGTTACAGCTAATAAGTAGCAGAGTTAGAATTTGAATCAGTCTTCTGACTCCAAACCTGTGGCTGTTTTTCTTACAACATTATTGCCAAGTTAAATGTGCTAGACTGATTAAATAAGTGGAAATTTTCTGTGAAGGTCAGCTTCATATAATTGGGATATGCAAGATAAGCAACTAATTGGATAATTTACTTAGATTAAGAACATTCATGCCTTCTAGGTAGAGAAGATGCTCAAGTGTCAGAAAGCCCCCCAAATTAAGTCAAGAGCTAATCATTGTACCTTCATTCCTTGGACCTATGGGATAAGTAAGAATATGAAGACCAGATGAAGTCAAGTTATTTGTTTCTTTTTCTTGGGCTGCAGTTGAGGTATCATCCACTGGGCAGCTTGCCTCCTGCCGCAATAACCTGTCACCGTCACTGCCACGCTGAACATTCATCCTTGGACTCTGTATCCTGAACTGTCTGCTTGATCAGAGAGAAATCCTAGAAGACAGGAATATGCATGATTTAGAACTCACAAAACAGGTTTCTCTAAGGACTTCCGTGGTACGAAAGCCAAACTAGAGAACTCTCATTCTTGTTCTCAGGAGAAATGGGCATCTTAACATTTTTGTGATTTTTATTTTATTTTTTCCTTTTTGTCTTTTTTCGTGTCCGGCAACGGATCGCAACCCTCAGTGTCGCGCCCATACTGGACCTGGATCGGCAACGGGATCGCAACCCTCGGTGTTGCGCCTGCACCTCGCTCAGCCAGTGAGCGGGAACCGGTCTGTATGTGGGATCCGAACCCTCGGCGGGAGCGCCACCGCGCTCCCAAGTGGCACACTGTGCCACCGGGCCGGCCCAACATTTTTGTGATTTTATGTTGAAAGGAATTGGACTGACTTAAGTGGTCTTTACCAAATCACTAAGAATGCTGATAAACTTCCTACCAGGGAATAATTTTAAGATTTACCGGGCCGGCCCGGTGGCACACTGCTACAGTGCGCCGCTTGGGAGTGCAGCGGCGCTCCCGCCGAGGGTTCGGATCCCACATACAGACCGGTTCCCGCTCACTGGCTGA